ATGCGTGTGTCCTTCCTGCTGATGGCCACGATCATGATGATGTGCATGGTGGTGGGCTCAGCGGCTCCGCAGAGGTTCTTCGCGTGGCCCAAGTTCTTCAAGAGGAGGGCCAGGCTCAGGTCCAGGGGCGGCAGAGGGCGCGGCTGCACGGACGCAGGCCTCGGGATCGTGTCCTGCCGTTGATCCGTTGCTCTCATGGGCTCACCTCGGGTCAGCCACCTGGAGGACCCGTGTTGCCTCCGCCCTTCGGGTGCCAAGAGGTCGCAGCTGGACTATGAGGTCCCGGCTTGGCTGTCGACCTCCACGGGACCTGGCCCTCCCGAAGACCTTCCTCTCGCAACCCCGTTTGTGGTGTACCTAGGGCTCAGTGACGCCGACTTGGCACGCCGCGTCAGGAGCCCAGGAGGATGCGGGGCAAGGGCCGTCCCTGTTCACATCTGCCACAGACAAAGGAAGAGGTTAAGGTCCCCTCGAGCCCCGCGTAGCCTCTGGACGCGGCTAGATGTGTCGTTTGCACTCCTTGTATATTGTTGCTCCAATTCTAACGTGTCTGCGACGGCGGGAGATATGAACGAGGCAGTTCTTGCTCTTGCCGGCCTGTGCAAAGCTAACCTTTTGTCCATCAGTTGTCACCATTTCTGTTTCATTAAAAGATTCATTCAGCCACGTCAGGTCTTATATTAAAAAAATGTCTTAGGTGTTTTATAATGCTCTTTTGATTATTTCATTTTTCATCAAAGTTAACTTGTAAATGTTTGTAAATAATCATTTTTGGGACATAACTGAAAATTCTTATTAAACATTATTTGCATCATATGTGTATTTTTTCTCATCCTGATTATATTTCATGAAAACTAGATCATGCATTTCATAAGATCGCCGTTGGCCAATGGCCATTATGCGTATATTTGTAAAGAGATGCAAAAGAAAAAAACACTAATATACTTAGGGTAAAACCGCTTCTCAAAACACACTTCCTTCCTTACTCCTGTTCACTAGAATCTGCGACAGTCAGAGGAAATCCGATCACTAAGATGTGTGAAATGATAGTTTAAGAAAAGACAGATCATCAAGAGAAAGACAGAAACAGAAAATATATATAATGAACAAAGCAAGAATTCTAGAATAACAAGAATTTTTTATTTCATGAGTAGAATAAATATTTGAGTGATGATGCTGATAACAAAGGCAATTATGATAATTAGTAGTAATTAGTAATTATGATAATTAATAATAAGAAAATGATAATAATCATGATAATGATGAAAATAGTTATGATAATGCCGATAATGATAATATAATTATCATAATTATTATAACAATGATGATGAGGATGAAGATTGAGATGATAATAACAATAACAATGGAATGAAAATAATAATAATGATAATGATAACGGTAATGATAATGACAATAATGATAATAATATTATTAATAATAATGATAACAATAATGATTATAATGATGATGATAATAATAATGATAATAATATTAATATGATAATAATAATAATAACAATAATATCAAAATTAATAATGATGATAATAACATTTATAATAATAATGATAATATAAATAATGATGATGATGATGATGATGATGATAATAATTATATTGATAATAATGATAATAATAATAATAATAATTATTATTATTATTATTATTATTATTATTATTATTATTATTATTATTAATATCATCATCATCATCATTATCATTGCTATTATTATTATCATTATCATTATCGTTATTATAAAGATTATAACAATAATCACTATTATTATCACTATCATTATTATTGTTGTTATCATTATCATTATTTTTTTCATAATGATTATCATTATCATTATTATAACTGTAATCATTATCATTATCATTATCATTGTTAGTAGTAGTAGTAGTATCTTTATTATTATAATTATAATATTTAAAAAATAATGATAATGACAAAAATAATAATAACAATAATTATGTTAATGATAATAACAGCAATAATGATAAAGATACTAAGAATAATGGTGATAATAAGACAATGATAATGATATGATGATAATGACAAACATTATGGAAGTGACATTTGGGATGATAAAAACAACAAAAATGATGATGATGACTATGATTTTAATAAGATACCTAGATGGCCATCTTATGACGTGGATGAAATGCATATTCCACTGAACTCTTATTTCATGGAATGGATGATATATATATATATACATATATATATATATATATATATATATATATATATATATATATATATATATATATATTGTTACGCCGGCCACCTCTCTACCTGCCACCAACACGAGGCAGGCTAAGCAAACGACGTGTTATTCACAGGGTCGTGAACACTGAACAGCTCCAAGAGGCACCGAGTACCACACCGTCCCAAAACACCACGAGGGAAAACGCCACGGGCGAGGCAGGGCACGAAAGAAAACTCACAATCACTGTCTTTCCTTTATTTACACAGTTATTTACCCGTACACTTTTCTATAGGCACAATACAGGAGGCAAACCAGCACATCACACTGCACAATACAGCATATAACAGGGCAACACAAAGTATATCAGGCTGGAGAAGGGCACACGCGAGGTCATCACAGCAGCGGCACCAAAACTCGACCCCCCCCCGTCTGCCCCCTTCCTCCGCCGCCGCGTCATCTTCCTGTCAAAACACGCCAACACGCGTTCGCACGCGCTCGCACACGTTTGCACAGAGACAAAGACCCTCTGGCGTAGCACTATCCCCCCCTTTCAAACAGACGACCCGTCTGCTCTGATATATCTAATCAAGAAACAAACAACAGAAAATTTAAATGAAATTAGTCCTCATGAACAAACAAAATTCTTTCAAACAAAAGTAACTGTAATTGTAAATCAGTTATCAGAAACACAAAAATCTTTCATCCAGCGCGGCTTTCTTCGCTCTCGCTGGGGTCGCTCTGGAGGAGGTGTGGGCGGCGGCAGATTGGCAGTGGCACCCAGAAGGGCATCTCCTGCCCCAAGACCCGGCTCAATGTCGCCACTGACGTCCATCGCATCGCCCCCACTGTCCAAATGCTCGTCCTCATCCCGGTCAGCATCTGCCACGTCCTCATCGCCGCTATTGGGGCTCACATCATCTTCCCCCTCACCATGGTTCCAGGAGTAGCTTCCTGGCCCATAGTAACGCCACAGCCGGTCCACGTGGACAACAGACGGTCGCTTTCGCCCTCTGCGAATTCGATAGGTGACATCAGAGAGGGCCGCTAACACCGTGTATGGCCCTTCCCAGGGGCTCTGTAGCTTCGGTGAGAGCCCTCGCTTCCGACGCGGGTTATGCAGCCACACTCTATCACCTATGTTGTACCTCACTTCCCTCGTGCGCCGGTCATAGGTCCCCTTCATGGCATGGCCGGCTACCTTGAGCTTGCCACGCACTCGTCGGTGCACCTCCACCAGGTTCTCCTGCAGTGCCACTGCATAGCTGGAGGTGACGGTTGGTAAGTTCACGTCGGGTGGCCGCCCTGTGGTCAAATCCACTGGTAGCCTGAGCTCACGGCCAAACATGAGTCGGGCAGGTGTGAAGTCTGTTACCTCGTGCACAGCGGACTGGTAGGCCATGAGCATGGCGGGCAGCTTGACGTCCCAGTCTTCCTGACTTTCCCTGCAATATTTGGCTAACTGTTGAGCAAGGGTCCGGTTAAACCGCTCCATCATACCGTCGGACTGTGGGTGGAGGGGTGTCGTCCGTGTCTTGCGCACTCCTAACAGCTCGCAACACTCACGGAACACTCGCGACTCAAACTCACGGCCTTGGTCGGTGTGCAGTTCAGAAGGCACACCAAAACGGGTAATGAATTCATTCACTAACACACTAGCCACGGTCTCGGCCTCGTGATTGGGCAGTGCATATGCCTCAGGCCACTTTGAGAAATAGTCCATTACCACACAGATGTATCGGTTCCCCTGTGGCGTGAGAGGCAGCGGACCGGCAATGTCCACTGCCACCCGTTCCATGGGTGCTCCCACACAGTACACCTGTAACGGGGCACAGTTCTTTCTAGCGGGGCCCCTCTTTGCACTGCACACATCACATGCTCTACACCACTCAGACATGTCACTTCTCATGCCCACCCAGTAGAAGCGTTGACGGAGACGGCTCAGGGTCTTTTTCTCACCCAAGTGGCCACTGGTAACACCTGCATGTAATTCCCTCAGCAACTCAGCACGCATGGACCTGGGTACTACAACTACCCACGTGTCACTGTCCACTTCACTTAACGGTACCCAGCGCTTCACTAACAAACCGTTTTGATCCACTCGTAATGTTTCCCACTGGTCCACTAGACACTTGGTGGTGGGGCTCTCCGCAGCCACAGCCTCCCAACTGGGGCATCCACTGAGAGCCTCAAGCCACCGGACAATGGGAGCAAGGTCAGAGTCCTCATGTTGTGCCTTAAGCCACTCATCGTCCCCTTTAGTGGCGCATTCCAGCACCTGCAGACAGAGGCACACAGGATCAGAGTCCTTCTGGACACAGTGTGAGCAACTAGCCTCACACGGGCGTCGACTCAAGCTGTCAGCGTTGCAATGGATACGACCCGGGCGGTGGATGATGTGGTAGTTGTACTGCTCAAGGCGCCCTAACCACCTTGCCAGCTGACCCTCTGCTATCTTCAGCGACTTCAACCATTGTAGGGCAGCATGGTCGGTCCGGATGGTGAACTCGGCACCGTAGAGGTACGGGTGAAAGTGTTCGAGACTCTTCACCACCGCCAGCAACTCTTTCCTTGTCACACAATAGTTGCGTTCAGGCCTGCTGAACTTGGCACTGTAGTATGCCACTACATACTCCTTCCCCTCCCTTATCTGTGACAAAACTGCCCCGATGCCTTCCGCACTAGCGTCAGTGTCCAACAGGTAAGGGAGCTTCGGGTCCGGGTAGGGCAAGACTGGTGCTTCCACCAGGGCCTTCTTCAGGTTGTCAAATGCGGACTGACATGCCTCGTCCCACTGGAAGCACTCCCCTTTTCGTGTAAGTCGGTGGAGAGGAGCTGCTATGCTGGCAAAGTCCTGTACAAAGCGGCGGTAGTATGTGCACAGGCCCAGGTAGCTCCTGACTTCCGCCACATTAGTGGGAACCGGCCACTTCTCCACCACTGCCACCTTCTGTGGGTCGGTGCGCACACCGTCTTGACTGACGACATGCCCCAGAAACGGCACCTCATGCTGGAACATCGAGCATTTCTTGGGGCTGAGTTTGAGGTTGGCCTTCCTCAACCGCTGTAGTACCTCCTCCAGCCGCTCCAGTTCCTCCTCGAAGGTGCTCCCGAAGACGATGACGTCATCAATGTAGACAAGCGCCGTCCTCCACTGCAGGCCATCCAATACACCTCTCCGTCAGATGCTCGAAACAACCAGGGGCATTGCAGAGACCAAAGGGCATGACGTTGAATTGCCACAGGCCTTACCCGAAGGTAAAAGGCAGTCTTTGGCTTGTCCTCTTCCGCCATCTCTACCTGGTGATAACCCGACTTCAGGTCGAGTGTGGAGAACCACCTGGCCCCCACCAATGCATTGAGTGTGTCATCAATTCTCGGCAAGGGGTATGAGTCCTTGATAGTCATGTCATTCAGCGCCCGGTAGTCCACACAGAAGCGTTGTGTACCGTCCTTTTTCTTCACCAGGACTACAGCTGATGACCATGGACTGTCTGACCGTTCAATCACCCCCTGCGCCGCCAGCTCATTGACAGTGCGTTGCATCTCTTCTCGCCTGGTAGGTGCAATACGTCGGGGGGGGCTCTTGATGGGCAAACTACTTCCAGTGTTAATGCGGTGTTTCACTAATCCTGTGCGGCCTAGGTCCAAGTCACCCCTGCTAAACACATCTGTATACTGAGCCAGGGTGTGGCGCATCTTCTCTGTCTGTGCCTCAGTCAGGTGAGCGGCGCTCCGCTGCGCCAAATCCTCGAGGAAGTCAGGCAACGGCCTTACACCGACCAACTCCTCGCTCCCCGACGACTCTTCTGGACGCTCCACTTCCTCACAAGTGCCCAGCTTTGTTCCAGCTGGCAACTTCTGGGCCTTATCGGAAAAGTTAGCTACCAACACTGTAACTAACCCCTCCCCCGCTCCAACAAGGCTCCGCCCAACTACTACGCCACCAGCTAGCTGCAGGTTTTGGATGGGCTCCACTAGGCCCTCTACTCCACGCATCACTCTTGACAGTCGACACCAGATTCTAGACTCTGTCCTGGGGGCAAGGTGCAGCCGCTCAGCCGTAACTACCTCTGCACAGCCAACTTCTGGAAGTAAGGGCACATCTTCACCGTGCACCCTCACCAGCTTCCGTCCAAGGTCGACACACGCCTTACTCTGCGTCAGGTAGTCAAGGCCCAGCAAGCAGTGCTCGTCCATATCGGCCACATAAACCGGCAGCCGCTGCACCGTGCTGCCCACGCCAATACAAGCCTCCACTGGCCCCTTGAGCTGTACACAATGCCCTGTGACACCACACAATCTCTGTGGTGCGTCTGGAAGTCGCGTAGTGGCCAACATATCAGGCCGCACTAGGGTCTTCTCAGCTCCAGTGTCCACTGTCAGGCGGCCTGGCTTCCCATCTACTGAGCCCTCCACCTGCATCGAGCTAGTTGTTCGACGACAGCTTACACACGTCGGGGCCCGGGAATCGAGGACGGCTGGGTTTCGGCCCCCTTCTCCAGCCTGTCCGAGTTTTCCGCCTGTACCACTTCCTTAGCCTTAGGACAGGCACTCAGATGGTGACCATACCTGCCACAGCCCTTGCAGCACTGCTGGAAAGCGTCAGGACACGTTCTCCGTTCCTTCCGACACCGACTACGTCTGTGCCCTCTCTCACCGCAACCCCAACACAAGCCTTGGAAAGTACTCGGGCTCACCTTCTCTAATTTAACCTTCTGGCCCCGGAGGTCACGGCGGGGCTGAGCAGCTGGCCCTAGGCCACTGGTTGCCTTCAGGAAGGCCTCGAACTCCAAGGCCCTCGCCAGCGCCACCTGCAGGTCCTCAGGGTGTGCCTGCTTGACGTAGATTTGCAGCTGCTGGTCCTCCAAAGCGTCAATAAAGAAATCGCGGGCCAATACCACGATCATCTCTTCTGCAGCCTCAGGGTACGACCTCCTTACCAGCGCCTCCACATCCTGCGCCACCTGGGGCAGTGTCTCACCACGCTCACGAGTCCGCTTCTTCAAACGGGCCCGATATACCTCGGCCTGGTGGTGATGCCCGAAACGGCGTTTTAAAACCTCCGCCACGGTGGTGTAAGAGGCATGTTGGGAAGGCGGCAGATGCCCCAACACTTCCACCGCGGGGCCCCTTAGCGCCGTTACCAGCTGCAGTACCTTCTCTTCTTGGTTCCAGCCCTGGGCAGATGCCAGCATTTCAAACTGGGCGACATATGCCTCCCAGGCCACATTCCCGTCGTACTCAGCTGGCTTACGCCTCACAGAATGTTTAGAGGCCGACAGGCTACGGGGTGGAGAACGCGTGCCGTGAACTAACACGCCTGGGGGAGAGGGAGGGGGTGAGGGAGGCAACGCGGCGGGTTGACCGGGTCCGAGTTTGCCGCCACCTGTACCCAAGGGAGCGGTTCCGATGGGTCCCCAGCCTTCTGCAGTGACCACTGGCTCCGACACGACGCTGCGAGGCCCGGAGGTTCCCTGCCACGGACCCCAGGCAGACCCGAGTAAATCTGACACTCTGGCATCTGTTGCCAGAACCTCGTCTGCTTTCTCTGCTTGCAACGTTACTACCTCGTGACGCCGCCTTTCTGCCTTCACTTCCTCCCTCAGGCCCTGAACCTCTCCTTTCAGAGTCTGCACCTCCTCCAGCAGTTCACTCTTCACGCTGTTGCAGGCCTTGTCGGTGTACTGCTGAGTTTCCATCTTCACAGAGGTAAGATTGCTCTGTAGCACCTCAACAAGATGGCAGAACTGTTCCTCTGCCTTCCTTGCCTGCATCTCGACGAGATGGTGCGCCTGCTCGCGTGCCCTCTGTGCCTGCTCTTCTGCCTGCTCGCGTGCCCTCTGTGCCTGTTCTTCTGCCCTTTGTGCCATTTCCTCCTTCATACTGGCCAGCATAGCAGTAATCAGGTCCATCTGGCTCGGCTTCACCTCACTCGTGCCGGCCTCAGGCGTAGCCTCCTCTCCCTCTTTGGACATGATAAATCGGCGCGTCTCACTGATCAAATATCACAGATCCCACTCCTGACACCAATGTTACGCCGGCCACCTCTCTACCTGCCACCAACACGAGGCAGGCTAGGCAAACGACGTGTTATTCACAGGGTCGTGAACACTGAACAGCTCCAAGAGGCACCGAGTACCACACCGTCCCAAAACACCACGAGGGAAAACGCCACGGGCGAGGCAGGGCACGAAAGAAAAACTCACAATCACTGTCTTTCCTTTATTTACACAGTTATTTACCCGTACACTTTTCTATAGGCACAATACAGGAGGCAAACCAGCACATCACACTGCACAATACAGCATATAACAGGGCAACACAAAGTATATCAGGCTGGAGAAGGGCACACGCGAGGTCATCACAGCAGCGGCACCAAAACTCGACTCTCCCCGTCTGCCCCCTTCCTCCGCCGCCGCGTCATCTTCCTGTCAAAACACGCCAACACGCGTTCGCACGCGCTCGCACACGTTTGCACAGAAACAAAGACCCTCTGGCGTAGCACTATCCCCCCCTTTCAAGCAGACGACCCGTCTGCTCTGATATATCTAATCAAGAAACAAACAACAGAAAATTTAAATGAAATTAGTCCTCATGAACAAACAAAATTCTTTCAAACAAAAGTAACTGTGATTGTAAATCAGTTATCAGAAACACAAAAATCTTTCATCCAGCGCGGCTTTCTTCGCTCTCGCTGGGGTCGCTCTGGAGGTGTGGGCGGCGGCAGATTGGCAGTGGCACCCAGAAGGGCATCTCCTGCCCCAAGACCCGGCTCAATGTCGCCACTGACGTCCATCGCATCGCCCCCACTGTCCAAATGCTCGTCCTCATCCCGGTCAGCATCTGCCACGTCCTCATCGCCGCTATTGGGGCTCACGTCATCTTCCCCCTCACCATGGTTCCAGGAGTAGCTTCCTGGCCCATAGTAACGCCACAGCCGGTCCACGTGGACAACTTTTGCCCTCTGCGAATTCGATAGGTGACATCAGAGAGGGCCGCTAACACCGTGTATGGCCCTTCCCAGGGGCTCTGTAGCTTCGGTGAGAGCCCTCGCTTCCGACGCGGGTTATGCAGCCACACTCTATCACCTATGTTGTACCTCACTTCCCTCGTGCGCCGGTCATAGGTCCCCTTCATGGCATGGCCGGCTACCTTGAGCTTGCCACGCACTCGTCGGTGCACCTCCACCAGGTTCTCCTGCAGTGCCACTGCATAGCTGGAGGTGACGGTTGGTAAGTTCACGTCGGGTGGCCGCCCTGTGGTCAAATCCACTGGTAGCCTGAGCTCACGGCCAAACATGAGTCGGGCAGGTGTGAAGTCTGTTACCTCGTGCACAGCGGACTGGTAGGCCATGAGCATGGCGGGCAGCTTGACGTCCCAGTCTTCCTGACTTTCCCTGCAATATTTGGCTAACTGTTGAGCAAGGGTCCGGTTAAACCGCTCCATCATACCGTCGGACTGTGGGTGGAGGGGTGTCGTCCGTGTCTTGCGCACTCCTAACAGCTCGCAACACTCACGGAACACTCGCGACTCAAACTCACGGCCTTGGTCGGTGTGCAGTTCAGAAGGCACACCAAAACGGGTAATGAATTCATTCACTAACACACTAGCCACGGTCTCGGCCTCGTGATTGGGCAGTGCATATGCCTCAGGCCACTTTGAGAAATAGTCCATTACCACACAGATGTATCGGTTCCCCTGTGGCGTGAGAGGCAGCGGACCGGCAATGTCCACTGCCACCCGTTCCATGGGTGCTCCCACACAGTACACCTGTAACGGGGCACAGTTCTTTCTAGCGGGGCCCCTCTTTGCACTGCACACATCACATGCTCTACACCACTCAGACATGTCACTTCTCATGCCCACCCAGTAGAAGCGTTGACGGAGACGGCTCAGGGTCTTTTTCTCACCCAAGTGGCCACTGGTAACACCTGCATGTAATTCCCTCAGCAACTCAGCACGCATGGACCTGGGTACTACAACTACCCACGTGTCACTGTCCACTTCACTTAACGGTACCCAGCGCTTCACTAACAAACCGTTTTGATCCACTCGTAATGTTTCCCACTGGTCCACTAGACACTTGGTGGTGGGGCTCTCCGCAGCCACAGCCTCCCAACTGGGGCATCCACTGAGAGCCTCAAGCCACCGGACAATGGGAGCAAGGTCAGAGTCCTCATGTTGTGCCTTAAGCCACTCATCGTCCCCTTTAGTGGCGCATTCCAGCACCTGCAGACAGAGGCACACAGGATCAGAGTCCTTCTGGACACAGTGTGAGCAACTAGCCTCACACGGGCGTCGACTCAAGCTGTCAGCGTTGCAATGGATACGACCCGGGCGGTGGATGATGTGGTAGTTGTACTGCTCAAGGCGCCCTAACCACCTTGCCAGCTGACCCTCTGCTATCTTCAGCGACTTCAACCATTGTAGGGCAGCATGGTCGGTCCGGATGGTGAACTCGGCACCGTAGAGGTACGGGTGAAAGTGTTCGAGACTCTTCACCACCGCCAGCAACTCTTTCCTTGTCACACAATAGTTGCGTTCAGGCCTGCTGAACTTGGCACTGTAGTATGCCACTACATACTCCTTCCCCTCCCTTATCTGTGACAAAACTGCCCCGATGCCTTCCGCACTAGCGTCAGTGTCCAACAGGTAAGGGAGCTTCGGGTCCGGGTAGGGCAAGACTGGTGCTTCCACCAGGGCCTTCTTCAGGTTGTCAAATGCGGACTGACATGCCTCGTCCCACTGGAAGCACTCCCCTTTTCGTGTAAGTCGGTGGAGAGGAGCTGCTATGCTGGCAAAGTCCTGTACAAAGCGGCGGTAGTATGTGCACAGGCCCAGGTAGCTCCTGACTTCCGCCACATTAGTGGGAACCGGCCACTTCTCCACCACTGCCACCTTCTGTGGGTCGGTGCGCACACCGTCTTGACTGACGACATGCCCCAGAAACGGCACCTCATGCTGGAACATCGAGCATTTCTTGGGGCTGAGTTTGAGGTTGGCCTTCCTCAACCGCTGTAGTACCTCCTCCAGCCGCTCCAGTTCCTCCTCGAAGGTGCTCCCGAAGACGATGACGTCATCAATGTAGACAAGCGCCGTCCTCCACTGCAGGCCATCCAATACACCTCTCCGTCAGATGCTCGAAACAACCAGGGGCATTGCAGAGACCAAAGGGCATGACGTTGAATTGCCACAGGCCTTACCCGAAGGTAAAAGGCAGTCTTTGGCTTGTCCTCTTCCGCCATCTCTACCTGGTGATAACCCGACTTCAGGTCGAGTGTGGAGAACCACCTGGCCCCCACCAATGCATTGAGTGTGTCATCAATTCTCGGCAAGGGGTATGAGTCCTTGATAGTCATGTCATTCAGCGCCCGGTAGTCCACACAGAAGCGTTGTGTACCGTCCTTTTTCTTCACCAGGACTACAGCTGATGACCATGGACTGTCTGACCGTTCAATCACCCCCTGCGCCGCCAGCTCATTGACAGTGCGTTGCATCTCTTCTCGCCTGGTAGGTGCAATACGTCGGGGGGGGCTCTTGATGGGCAAACTACTTCCAGTGTTAATGCGGTGTTTCACTAATCCTGTGCGGCCTAGGTCCAAGTCACCCCTGCTAAACACATCTGTATACTGAGCCAGGGTGTGGCGCATCTTCTCTGTCTGTGCCTCAGTCAGGTGAGCGGCGCTCCGCTGCGCCAAATCCTCGAGGAAGTCAGGCAACGGCCTTACACCGACCAACTCCTCGCTCCCCGACGACTCTTCTGGACGCTCCACTTCCTCACAAGTGCCCAGCTTTGTTCCAGCTGGCAACTTCTGGGCCTTATCGGAAAAGTTAGCTACCAACACTGTAACTAACCCCTCCCCCGCTCCAACAAGGCTCCGCCCAACTACTACGCCACCAGCTAGCTGCAGGTTTTGGATGGGCTCCACTAGGCCCTCTACTCCACGCATCACTCTTGACAGTCGACACCAGATTCTAGACTCTGTCCTGGGGGCAAGGTGCAGCCGCTCAGCCGTAACTACCTCTGCACAGCCAACTTCTGGAAGTAAGGGCACATCTTCACCGTGCACCCTCACCAGCTTCCGTCCAAGGTCGACACACGCCTTACTCTGCGTCAGGTAGTCAAGGCCCAGCAAGCAGTGCTCGTCCATATCGGCCACATAAACCGGCAGCCGCTGCACCGTGCTGCCCACGCCAATACAAGCCTCCACTGGCCCCTTGAGCTGTACACAATGCCCTGTGACACCACACAATCTCTGTGGTGCGTCTGGAAGTCGCGTAGTGGCCAACATATCAGGCCGCACTAGGGTCTTCTCAGCTCCAGTGTCCACTGTCAGGCGGCCTGGCTTCCCATCTACTGAGCCCTCCACCTGCATCGAGCTAGTTGTTCGACGACAGCTTACACACGTCGGGGCCCGGGAATCGAGGACGGCTGGGTTTCGGCCCCCTTCTCCAGCCTGTCCGAGTTTTCCGCCTGTACCACTTCCTTAGCCTTAGGACAGGCACTCAGATGGTGACCATACCTGCCACAGCCCTTGCAGCACTGCTGGAAAGCGTCAGGACACGTTCTCCGTTCCTTCCGACACCGACTACGTCTGTGCCCTCTCTCACCGCAACCCCAACACAAGCCTTGGAAAGTACTCGGGCTCACCTTCTCTAATTTAACCTTCTGGCCCCGGAGGTCACGGCGGGGCTGAGCAGCTGGCCCTAGGCCACTGGTTGCCTTCAGGAAGGCCTCGAACTCCAAGGCCCTCGCCAGCGCCACCTGCAGGTCCTCAGGGTGTGCCTGCTTGACGTAGATTTGCAGCTGCTGGTCCTCCAAAGCGTCAATAAAGAAATCGCGGGCCAATACCACGATCATCTCTTCTGCAGCCTCAGGGTACGACCTCCTTACCAGCGCCTCCACATCCTGCGCCACCTGGGGCAGTGTCTCACCACGCTCACGAGTCCGCTTCTTCAAACGGGCCCGATATACCTCGGCCTGGTGGTGATGCCCGAAACGGCGTTTTAAAACCTCCGCCACGGTGGTGTAAGAGGCATGTTGGGAAGGCGGCAGATGCCCCAACACTTCCACCGCGGGGCCCCTTAGCGCCGTTACCAGCTGCAGTACCTTCTCTTCTTGGTTCCAGCCCTGGGCAGATGCCAGCATTTCAAACTGGGCGACATGCCTCCCAGGCCACATTCCCGTCGTACTCAGCTGGCTTACGCCTCACAGAATGTTTAGAGGCCGACAGGCTACGGGGTGGAGAACGCGTGCCGTGAACTAACACGCCTGGGGGAGAGGGAGGGGGTGAGGGAGGCAACGCGGCGGGTTGACCGGGTCCGAGTTTGCCGCCACCTGTACCCAAGGGAGCGGTTCCGATGGGTCCCCAGCCTTCTGCAGTGACCACTGGCTCCGACACGACGCTGCGAGGCCCGGAGGTTCCCTGCCACGGACCCCAGGCAGACCCGAGTAAATCTGACACTCTGGCATCTGTTGCCAGAACCTCGTCTGCTTTCTCTGCTTGCAACGTTACTACCTCGTGACGCCGCCTTTCTGCCTTCACTTCCTCCCTCAGGCCCTGAACCTCTCCTTTCAGAGTCTGCACCTCCTCCAGCAGTTCACTCTTCACGCTGTTGCAGGCCTTGTCGGTGTACTGCTGAGTTTCCATCTTCACAGAGGGAAGATTGCTCTGTAGCACCTCAACAAGATGGCAGAACTGTTCCTCTGCCTTCCTTGCCTGCATCTCGACGAGATGGTGCGCCTGCTCGCGTGCCCTCTGTGCCTGCTCTTCTGCCTGCTCGCGTGCCCTCTGTGCCTGTTCTTCTGCCCTTTGTGCCATTTCCTCCTTCATACTGGCCAGCATAGCAGTAATCAGGTCCATCTGGCTCGGCTTCACCTCACTCGTGTCGGCCTCAGGCGTAGCCTCCTCTCCCTCTTTGGACATGATAAATCGGCGCGTCTCACTGATCAAATATCACAGATCCCACTTCTGACACCAATGTTACGCCGGCCACCTCTCTACCTGCCACCAACACGAGGCAGGCTAAGCAAACGACGTGTTATTCACAGGGTCGTGAACACTGAACAGCTCCAAGAGGCACCGAGTACCACACCGTCCCAAAACACCACGAGGGAAAACGCCACGGGCGAGGCAGGGCACGAAAGAAAACTCACAATCACTGTCTTTCCTTTATTTACACAGTTATTTACCCGTACACTTTTCTATAGGCACAATACAGGAGGCAAACCAGCACATCACACTGCACAATACAGCATATAACAGGGCAACACAAAGTATATCAGGCTGGAGAAGGGCACACGCGAGGTCATCACAGCAGCGGCACCAAAACTCGACCCCCCCCGTCTGCCCCCTTCCTCCGCCGCCGCGTCATCTTCCTGTCAAAACACGCCAACACGCGTTCGCACGCGCTCGCACACGTTTGCACAGAGACAAAGACCCTCTGGCGTAGCAATATATATGTATATACATATATAGATATATATAGATATATATATTTATATATGTGTATATACATATGTATATATATATATATATATATATATATATATATTAGATAGAGAGAGAGATATACACACACACATGCATATATATATGTATATATGTGAATAAATATATATATATACATATATATATATATATATATATATATATATATATATATATATATGTATATACTGGACTCCGGCCCTTGTGGTCCTGAGTTCAATTCCCCATCGTGGTGGTCGTGAAAATGCCTATGCTCTGACTGCTGGGTCAAGCCCGAGAAAGCGATATATCTCCTTAAGAAGTCAAACGCAGGTGTCGTAGGGGAAGTCACCGCCGTGGCACAACCGCGGTTCATTAGGAAGGCCATCCAATCAGATAAGGGTGGCACTGCCATATAACCTCTCAATAGTGGATTGAGAGAGGCCTGTGTCCTGCAGTGGAATGACTGGCTGTTAAAAAATATATATAAATAAAAATAGAAAATATATATATTCACACACAAACACACACACACACACATATATACATCAGTGCTCCGATGATCTCCCTAGCCAGCCTCTGCCAATCCCGCAGTTTGCCCTCCGTTTTGACAAAAGCGCTTGCTTGCCTTTCCCTGGCATGCTGCGTGGTTGGCCCAAGGTGCTTTAAATTGCTTACACAGTCTCGGCTGCATTGCTTGTTTTCGATCTTCTTCCTGCTGACTAGCATTCTCTCATCTCCTCCATCTCTTTAAATTCATCTGGTTATGCCTTAAACCTCTGCACAGAGTGTAATGTAAATGCATTAATATATTTATATATATATATATATATATATATATATATATATATATATATATATATATATATTTATATATATATATATATATATATATATATATATTGTTAACCCCTTGGTGCCGGGTATGACGTGTACGTACGTGCTATGCCCACCGTGAGTACTTGTTTGATTGTTGTTACGCATAGATGGCAACACTTGTACTAACTTCCCAATGAGCCAGTTACGACCACCGCCCGTCTCGTTTACCCGTTTCTTTGATTTACAAAATATTTTACGTAATCTTATTTTGCTGTTACTAATGTTAAAGAAATTATAAAAATTATAATGTTTATGATAAAAATAACACCATCGATTTTCATAGCACAAGTGAAAAATACGTTTTTCCCGCCATTTAAATCAGGCGCTAGCAGAGCCATCTATCGGCAGACATTTCACGAAAAACATAGAAAGTGGGCACAATATTTTCCCCATTTTTTGTTCATTTTCCCCGGCACCATTGGGTTAAGTAGAGTAGTACTCTAATCGATTTCTCAAGTAAAGGAATCTTTTGAGTTTTGCCTTTTCCTATGGATCTTGCATTGTTTTAGTAATGAACAGGAATATGCATTAACTGTGCAGTTTACTTTTTGGAAGAATCTAATGATTATTATTGATAAGGATAATCACAACAAGCTTAGAAATTATATATTATCCTAATGTAAAAAGGTTGTCAAAGGTACATAATTTTGACCCAGCGGACTCGAACTGGAACTTGGTGGAGGTGAGACGCACGGTTTTGTGGTATTTTGTTTTTTGGGCTATATTTTAGCTGTAAGTTTTTTCAACTCGGTACTCAGTTCCAACATGGTTATATGATATATAATATATAATATTGTGTATTTGGAATTGCATATTCTATTAAGTTGGTGTCTAAAAGGTGACTGGTGTTTGTGTGATGCCCAGAGTGATATGTCAGAACCAGAGGTATTTTTTCTTTTATTTTGGTGCTGCTATGACGTTGTCTTTTTTTATAGTTTCTACCGAGAAACTTGATTTACCCAATTATCTGAATATTTGAATTGTGTCAAGTGAAGGTCAAAAGGTGTTTTTCATTCATTTTGTATTATAATACTTGTTGGCAGTTGCCAGTGTGTAATTAACTTCTTAGTAATACAGTGTAAGCATCTACTTGTGTTTTATATTTCCATACTCTTGTTGCATCCATTGATTTATTCAATGTTGCTTAAAACATACCATGATTTAGTGTGAAGTGAAGGTTGAGAACAAATTAGAAGTCGTTAGACTATTGAAAGATAATAAGTATCATTTGATAAGAATGTTAAAGATTTGAATTCCCCTTTAGAAGTTTACAATTAACCCATTCGCCACGAATTTATGTTCTATCCCCTGTAGGTTTTAGTGAATTATGTTACATACAGATGCCTCCACATGTACTCAGCCGGCAAGGAGTCTATCAGTAGGCCCTAGTTACCGACCCTGATTTTCCCATTCATTGCATTGGCGGGAAAATTAATACCATTGCTATCGATACTGTTATTATTGTTATTGATGTTATGATTACCAAATTGTCACTAGAATATTTTAGACAATGAAATGATACAAAAAAAAAATTCCAAAAGTGAAGGAAAAGGGTAAACAGGTGAAGTAGGTAGTTCTTGATAACTGGCTGTTTGGTGATTAAGAACTTGTGGAGCCATCTATGTGTAAATACAATAAATAAACGTGTCTCAAAGTGGGTATGGCATCTATTCTTGCCAAATGTGGCGAAAGGGTTAAGTTGCTCTGTACCCGTTTTGATTAATCCCCTAATTGAGTAAAAGCAACTCTCCATTAAGAAAGATTTAGTTGAGCTAGGAACTTGATTGTAACAATATATATATGTATATATATATATATATATATATATATGTATATATATACATATATATACCTGTGTGTATATATGTATCTGTGCGTATATATGTATGTGTGTGTGTATATATATATATATATATAGAGAGAGAGAGAGAGAGAAAACGTA